ACTGGATGATCTGGTGAACTGGAAAGAGCCTTGAAATGACGTGATGTGAATTGGCGCTATAGAAATAAACTGAACTGAAAAGGCAGAAGTTTGCGCATCCACCGCTAAGGGGAGCGCATGGCCCATGCATGCAGACATCATCTGATCAAACCGGTAAAGTGGAGCTTTAACCGTAGCCCTCCCACTGGGCGTGTTTGGTTCCAGGAAGCCGCAGCAGCAGCAGCGGGCTGCTGTCCCTCCGTGTCTCCGCCCTGCTCGGTGTTTCCTCAGGTGCGGCAGCAGCTGGACGCGCAGAGGAATGTTTGCGCCTCAAACATGGACTCCGCGTTTCTCCCCAGCGTGACGTTAGCAGAACCTGGTCGATGTTCGAGGCTCCTGCTATGAGGATCGCTGTTTCCGGACAACTTTGAAGCCTTCCAGGTGTTGCAGGTGTATTTTTTTTTTTTTTTTTACCCAGGGGTCTTTTGTGACGCCTCACCATGCCGGCGGATCAGATCAGCGTCACGGAGTTTGTTAATGAGACCAATGAGGACTACAAAGCTCCGACCACCTCCAGCTTCTCCACCCGGATGTCCCACTGCAGGAACACAGTGGGAGCACTGGAGGAGGTGGGCTCACACACTCACGACCTGATCACCACTGATCACCATCATGGGATCATAGTTTGACAGAAAAGCCTTTCAGAGTTTAATGATTGAACCCATTGAGATGCAACCTGCTGCTACTTCCTGCTCTCAGAACAACTGATTTCACTCTGAGTTGTTTTTATTCAGTTTATCAAGTTGGAGGAGTTGTTGCAGATCTGTAAGCAGACTCATGTTTTTCATGCTGAAAAAGAGGAACAGAGAGCAGCACTTCCTCCTGATGAGGCTGCAGTTGCCTCTCAGCCTGCTGCCTGTGGAGGAGTTGTGCAACTCTGTGATGATGAGGCTCATTTTTAGGTTTTTTTTTAGATGCAGATTAAATAGAATCTTTATTTCTTAAAGCTGGTTTCTCCTTGATGTTGTGGCATAATGATCTTCTTTGGGGCCCCTTGCTAAGATCCTGCTTTTCCCATCCTTTATTCATTTTCCCCCTGCTTTTTACTGTCATTACATTGTCAGAACCCATCCCCTTGGGGAGCAGTGGGCTGCCATTGTGTGGCACCCGTGGGGACTCAGGA